CCCCCCCCCCCCCCCCGCCACCTTCCCAAGGGCTTCCCGCAGGGTCTGCAGGTGGGCGCCCGGAAAGGGCCGGGGGCCTGCTCCTTGATCCAGTCCGCTCCCCTGAGCAGCCTCTCGTGGAAAGGTGAACATTTTGCTCTCGAAGCAGGTGTGGTTTGAGCGCTCCCTTGAGGGACGAGGCCAGACTTTATCAAGGACGTGCCTGTTCTCCCTGGAGGGGCATCCCCTTGCCGCCTGGTGCCCCATCATCCCGGGGCAGGTGTTCAGGGCTTCCTCTCTTTCAGACCTCATTTCTTCCTTTTGTTTCCTCCTACTCCCAGTAATTCAATCCTTTATCCGGGCTACAGGTATTAATGAAGTCCTGAGATCAGGGCCCAGCAGGTCACCGTCTTCTCACCTATTGCACCAGATGGTAGCTTTACTGCAAAGAACCCTCGGGGTACTTGAGGGCAGGGCGTGAGCGAGCCTTCCCAGGTCTGGCTGCCTGCTGCAGGCAGGGCATGGTGGTGTTATCTCCCCATATAAGGCGCTCTCTGCCCTGTTCGAGTTTCTGGTGTTTTCCTGAGTCAATACTAAACATCACTTATTACAATTATCTTTGTATACGGGCATCTGTTAGATTTATGACAAATCATTTTCTTCCTTGAAAGACCCCGTATGACCTCGGTTTGATCTTTCTCCAGGCAGCCTCTCGGGAGCCATTGGCTCTGCCCCGTCTCGCCTGTCTGTCCCTTTCGCTGCAGGACTTTTCACACTAATCAAATCATGCTTGTTCTGCCCACTTCACTAGAGGGGGAACCCCTGGGACTCTGAGCCAATAAGCCTCCTAACTCCAGCGGAAAAGGTCGCTTGATGCCTGAGCCGTCTGCCCGCCCATCCTTTCTGAGGCTTAAGTTCCGCATATCTTTTGAGTTAGGAATAGCATGGATGGGCGTCACCGCTCTAGACAAACTTCTTTAACTGAGGGAGATTTGAGACTTTAATGTTAGAGGTTTGCACTTCTTCCCACAGTCAAATGTTGGCTCCGATGTAAGGTGCCTGCTATTGAATACAAGTCACTCGGTGTGGGGGAATCTCAGTTTGTTTTTCAAACAGGATTCATACAAATGATGTGGGAAAATATTCCACAGAAATGTCTTGGTTATTTGTTTCTTAAATCATTGCTGATTAGAATTCTTTGGAATGGTCTGTTTCTGTCTTTCATTCTTCACAATGAAGATGACTTTGGGAATCCGGGACTAGACATGTAATGTTCCTTCTAGAATCTTAGAACCATAACATTTTTGACTTGGAAGCTGTCTTAGAGGTCACCAGGATAAATAAATGCCTTTATTTTGAAATGTGCAGGAAAAGAAAGATTTCAAATGAGGAACTGGGACTTTTTTTTTAAAGAGAGAGATGTCTTGGAAAATTAGATATTTCCCATTAATGCTATGAATAATAATAGTTCCATGGGTGCCCATATGCACCAGTTAAAATAGGGCCATGTGTATTGGAGATTCCTTTAATTTGCAATCAGAATGGAGAGTTCTGTGTACAGTTTGCAAATTAGAGACTTCTTCATTGAAGACAAGAATCACCATTTTTATTCCAACATCTGATAAAACCTTAATGAAACCCATTGCCCTCCACCTAGTATATTGTGTTATATAATCTATACCATGTCTGAAATGAAGGTTAAAAACTCAGCACTTTTTAAAATACCACTTCAGTTTCTTTGCATTTTCCATGCATTTTCCCAACATACAGCTCTCCAAGAGAGAGTTATGCATGGTGCTCATAAAATATTCAAAATGCAGTGAAAGCACTGGCAAAATGAATAGTCATGAATGTTTTAGGATTCTGTGCACAAACGGATTCAGTAGTGTTTCAGGTAACCTGAGCACTATTGTACTTTTACGAATTCATTACTTATGAGTTGTTCAGAGCACAAGTAGTGGTTATTGTCATAGAGAGCAGTACTATGCAGTCAAAATACCCGAGGAGGCATCCAAAGGGAACCAGAACCGATACCCAACCAATAATTACTTTGGAAAGGGTTGTTGTACTCCAGTCATGTTCCTGTTTGTTGGGATTTCTGTTTTAGGATTCATTTTCTTAAGCTGCAAGGTTGGAAAGACTGGTTTGCTTCGCTCCCTGCTCCACTTAGCTTTCTGAATTGAGGATATACACAGTTTCTATACCTTTTGCAAAGTCACGAAACAGTTTTAAGCATTCCATGTGTAATGTTATACAAGTATTTGCTTACCAGTTTTGTGCATAAAATAAAAGGTTAGGTTTATCATATGATATGGTGAACGTAGTCATTCCACGAGGGCATTTACCTGGTCGAGTATCTGAACTGTATCATCCAAATCTCTTGCATGTCGCTTCATAAATTGTGGTTGTTTTAAATTAAAGTAATATACATTTTTTACATGATATGTTCTATGCAGAAATAGTGATATAGATGCCTTCCCCATTTGTCCTTAACTAAACCCTCTTTTGACTAAAAAGAGGCATTTTTAGGTGACCCTTTGAGTTCTCTACAATTGGATTAAAACATTTCTGTAGCTTTAAAATGAACTGGTGAAAACATTGAAAATCTTTTAGATAACCATTCATGATTTTCATTTACCGAAACAAAAAAATTCGATTCATGGTTCCTGTGTAGGATTTTTGACATTCACATGCTGGAAGATTTTGGTCTTGAGACTGAAGCAAATTTTAACTCTGGCACGGTGCTTGAGCCTTGTAGATAGCTTCACCCACAAGACTGCATCTTCGGACTCTGTAAAGCCAGACACACTAGCACTGGCCTTGGAACATCCTGGCCGTGAAGAGTCTCTGGGTTCGCTGACTTCCACGCCAGGCCTGGAGCCTGGGATGGCGATATGACTGGCAGGTTCTTGCAGTTGGGTGACAGCAGGGTCCCCCAAAGCCACTTGACCGTGCACTGACTCGGGTTCTACGTTCACATCGGCTCATCTCCTGAGGGTCCCCTTTTAAATTAATCAGGCATCTCTAGGGGCAGGGAACCAGATGGCAGTTGAGTGACAGGTCCCCACTGCTCCTCTGTCCCCTCAGAGCCAACTCTACAATTCAGCATGAAAATCATGTGGATAATAATAGCAGCAGCAGCAGCAAACATTTTCTGATTGATTTTGCTAGGCTCTGGGCCAGCTGGGAATGCAGGACATGTGACAATCCCCCTCCCCCTCCAGCTCTCCTCATTTGATGGTCGTTATACAGGGAAGGAAACCCCAGCCCTGTGAATCAGGTGGCAGGAAGACAGCTCGTGTCCTCTCTGCAGCCCACGAGGGGCAAGGTTCTGAAGTCTCAGCAGCATGAGTAGAAACTCGGCAGTGACAGCGTTGAGGCAGGTGCCACAAGGCCATTTCCAAGCGATCATTTATTCATGGTGGTCCTCATGATAATTCTTTATGTCCACAGAGGAGAGAACCACCGCCAGCCAGGAGATTCACAGAACACCAGGACTGAAACATCCTCGAGTCTTGGTGCTTGAATAAGAAATTGGTAAGCAGTTCCAGGACAGCTACAACTGACTGACAGCACTGGTTTCAGGGATGGTTTTTACTAAAGAATACTGGCAGATGTCGCCAGTCATCTGTGATGGAAGAGTCCAGGGCTCAGCTTTGTGCAATGACATCCAGTGACCTCCTGAGTCCCTAGGATCCACTTTGGGGCATGAAGGGGTCTACACCATGGTGATACTGAGGTACGCATATGCAAAAGTACACCCACTCATGAACACACTCATACACACAGACATCAGTAAAGCCCATCTTCAGAACTTCTAAAGTACTTGGCCTAGGTTGAGAACAGTGGCTCACACCTGTGATCCCAGTACTTTAGAAGACTGGGGCAAGAGGATTCCTTGAACCCAGGAGTTCAAGACCAACCTAGGCAATATAGTGACACCTCATCTCTACAAAATAAAACTTTTTAAATTAGCCCAGAGTGGTGGTGTGCTCCTGTAGTCCCAGGTAATCAGGAGGCTGAGGCACGAGGATCACTTGCGCCCAGGAGATTAAGGCAGCGGTGAACTGTGATTGTGCCACTGTGTTCCATGCTCCAGCATGAGTGACAGACTGAGACCCTGACTCAAAAAAAAAAAAAGGTATGAGGCCTAGAAACAGCATTTTCCTTATGACTATAAAATTGCCCTATCTCATCAGAAAGAGAAAGAATGACAAAGATGAACAGCCTTTGGATTCCCCTAATCTATGGGCCTCTAACCTCCTGTAGCTGACACAAAAGTATTTAAAGCCCTGTTTCCGGTTGCTAGGGCTGCCATAACAAAGTACCTGGAAGTCCAAGATCAAAGTGTTGGCAAGACTGGTGTCTCCTGAGGCCAGTTTGCTTGACTGTCCTCTCTCCATGTCCTCACCTGGTCTTCCTTCTGTGCATATCTGTGTCCTAATCTCTTCTTACAGGGACACCGGTTGTATTGGATCAAGGCCCATCCTGACCTGACTTCAACTTGATTACCTCTTAAAGACCCTTTCTTAAGATAAGGCTGTGCCCTGAGGTCCTAAGTGTTAAGAATGCAACACGTAAATCAGTAGTTGGAGAGACACAACTCAGTTCGTAAGGAGTCCAAACAGGAATGTATTGACTCATTCCACATCTTGTTTCTCTGGCCGGTGTTGCTGGTTTGAAAAACAACTTAGGTGGGTACCTGCATAATCAACATTTGTATACCTAACCCTGAATGGTACCCTACGTCTTTGTAATAAAAAAATTAATAAAAACAAAAATAACTCAGGTGAAGCCACACTGAAAAAAGAACCGGATGGCAAATCCTGCGTGTGACTTTGAATAGAGAAATGGCGGCATGTCTAGAGTGTAAATAGTGACAGCCAGGTGTGGGTGATGCTGTCCGATTGGCCTAGGGAGATGTGGAGTTTTGGTGGTGCTCTTACATGTCTCTGTGTTGTGCTGTCCTGCGCTGTGTGCAGGGGACAGAGATAATTACCACCAATGATGACTCTGCAGCTTGAGACATTGATATGCTGGACTATTCAGAGAAAAAAAATAGCTACTTGCTCTTCCATCAAGTAGGGCAGGCAGGAAGACGCAGACAGGGCTCAGCATTCTAAAAATGGCCCCGCACTGCCCTGGGGAGACCAGGCAGCCCTCACTCCTGGGGAGAGCACTTGGTCTCAGGTTCGTTGGACAGTTCTTGACAGGAGCCACTTACCTGGAGACTTTTGAGAATCTAAACTTGAGGAAGAGAATGCAGGTATGCTTTTGTGTACTTTGCTGTTTTTCCATAAGTGATGGGGAGGTTTGTTTCTCTCTGCAAGGACAGTGTGAGTTTGCTGCTGTTTTGTAGTGGCATGTGCTCACAGGAAACGTGAAGTTGAAGTTCATAGGAAAACCTGATACTTGCAACCTGGTGTCTCCATTGTCATCCCAGGAGCAGACTCACCTGAATGCAGGTCTAGAGTAAGGCAGCCTCACAAGAACCACGTTAGAGACAGATGAGGAACCAGCTGAAAAGGCTTTTTTTGTTAAAAAGCCACTCATCGTGGGTTCCTCGAGCCCTGTAAATCTCAGTCTTTTGCTGCCCTGGATGTGTTGATGGGGTGGTAGGGCAGTGAGAAGAGGTTGGTTGGCTGCAAGTGTTTGAGCTTTCCTCTCTGCCCGTGGAGCTCAACCCTGGCAGTAAATCAGATGCCCCGGGGAGCACGCGAATATTTTGAGTGCTGGGGCCTCTCTCAGACATCCAGACTTCATAAGGATCAGGGTCTGTCAGTGACTGCTTAGAAAAGTGCCTTCGTCATTCTCTTGGGCATCCGGGCTTAAAAAGCTGCCCGACCCTATCAGAGCCCATCTTCTCCTTCTCTGCCCATCTGTAGACATGGCCTCACCCCTAGCACCCACAGCCTTCCTCACTGTCCTAGGTCAACCCTGACTCAGCCCCTCGAGGCCCAACGTTCATAGAGAAGCCATCCTAAAACCAAACTCTTTCTCCCTGGCCCACTGGCATAGACAAGGGCATGTAAACTGGAAAGAGAAAATGTGGCCAAGACGATTGGCTTGCCCATGGTGAGACACGGCCTCACGGGTGGGGAGTGAATGCTGCAGAACTGTGGCTGATTGGTTAATTGACACATGGCACATGATTGGATGCCTCCTCCAGAGCCAGAACTTACCAGGCATAAGTAGTGGACGAGACATACACACACACACTGCCTGCCACAGAGAACCTACCATCCAACCGGCTAATGCAAAACCCAGCCACATTCATCCCTGACCCGCCAGGTAACTTCACAGCTATATTTTGATTCATATTTGTGAGATATCCATGGACCCGACAATTGACAGTCGCCTGGGGTGCACTGGGGACTTGGGCAAGGTGGGATCCTCGGGTCAGCAGGGTCATTCAAGATTCTGGGTAACGTTCTCAGAGGGAGTGCTCTACCAAAAGTGGGTCAAGACTTGCATCGACGTCAAAGGTTCATGTTGTTCTGAACATTATTTCGTTGCCAAGAAAAAGAAAGATCAGGAATTTCCCCAAACCCATCCAGAAGTTGTCGCAGTAGCAAAAATATTTCCAGTAATATCTACGCTTTGCTAGTCAGTATGTCAGCAAGATAAAGTTTAGTTGTTCATTTATTTCCTCATGGTTACATACGTCATTCATTTGTTCATTCAGCACTCATTTACTGAGGGTCTACCATGATTTGGGCACTGTGGGGACATTGCCCTTGGCATTCCCACAGTGACCGTTCCCTGTTCTGTCTTGTCCCTGGTCCTTGACTGGTCCTCTCTCTGGCCCACTAATCCGGGGAGGCTAGAAGGAAACTGTCTGAGCAGAGGACTAAGGACACCAGCCTGGGAAAGTCAGGGGAGGAAGCAGATCTGGGACTAATGGGTGGCAAAGGACTGGGAGAAGAGGGCTGGTGTGTCTGCGGGAGCCCGGAGAGGTTACCCGAACATGCCCCTTCCTGACTAACAGGTCTGGGCGAGATCAGAGAGCCTGTATTCACTGAAGCTGTCCCTCTCCTGGTCTCCAGCCCTATGATCCTGCCTCCTAGCAAGGGACTTGTCATCTGCCTCAACTCCTGTAGGGTTCCCATCCAGTCTCTCTGTCCCCATCCATGCTCCCTGATGCCACCTGTGTGGTTTCCCTAATCCTAATTCCAGGTTTCTTACACCTTGTTATGAACCTTACAAAATAGAGCCCAAGACTTCCCTCACTGCCCACCCAGCCTGGACTCCTTCATCCACCACGACCCCTGCTGAGGTTTCTCTCCCACCAGCCTCTCTTGCCTGGAAAACCCTCTTGCCCCTGTTCACCAACTGAGCTCCTGGACATCCTTCAAACCCCACACAGATGCTCCAGCTCCTCTGCGCATATATGCCTTCAACTGCCCCTCCAGTAAAAGTCACACCTCCTTCTTCTGAACACCTCCACATTGTCCAGTAAATGTTCATTTCTGTATATATCCTGCTGGGCTGCATTTACATACTCACAACTCTTCTCATACTGTGTGTGACAAATAAGCGAGTTTACCTGAGCAGACAACCCTTCACCTTCATTTTTCTTGCGGTGTGGCGTTAGGATTGGACATGTGCATTGGGTCCTTCCTACAGGCCAGCTGCTGTGCACAATGCTTTATGTGAATCATGTGATTACATCCTCACAACAGCCTATGAGATGGGTGTTGTTGTTGTTCACATTTTACAGAGGAGGAAACTAAGGCTTGCTGATGTTGCATTGCTTGCCGGAAGCACATGGCAAGTAACAGAGCAGAACTGCCACCAGCTGGTTCTAGCAAGCAGTCAGGTTGGCAAGTAGAAGCCAACCCGACCAGTCACTGGTGAAGCCAGTAGGACACAAGCTGAGCATGAGAACAAGGACATCAGGCTGGGAAGATCAGGGGAAAGCAGATGGGGAACTAGGCAGGTGGGCAGAGGATTGGAAGGCGAGGGCAGGTGTGCCTGTCCTCCTGAGCACCCATGGATGGTAGGCGTGCCTTTGCAGTTACAGTATGCATGGATTTGCCACAATATAAGAATCGATCCACCAGGGGAGAGATGGTGTCTCCATCAAACCCAACACAGGGTGACAGATTACCGGCAATGTTGGACAAACACATGGGTTCAGATTCACCATGAGCTCGTTGTTATCAATTGTGCCACACAGAAGAATGCTTTAATTCTTTCAAACTGTAAGAGAAAAGATAATGATTGCTGTTTTATTTCTTCCATACACAAAAAGGAAAGACGTTTTAGAAATTCTGAAAATAACTCAAGAAAGAAAGACTTTTGGAACATAATTGTGCATTGGGAAAAGTCACTCAGTTTGAAGAAATTACTACTTTAAAATAATTTCTTTAAAATAAATACTAATTCTCTATCACAATATTTGTCAAGCCTTCCCAAGATTTTTTATTGAGTTCTTTGATGAGGGAGATAAGGAAATACCATCTCATAATGGATCAGATTACACTTAAAGTTGAAATGTGATCAGTTCATTTGGAAATTGAAGGAAAAATGTGCAG